AGGGCTCTTAAAGCACTTGCCGACTTTATTTGCACTCGTCGTGAGGTCTACAAGATGCATGCTCCATGTCTCTCGGCTGTAGCTACATCAGCACAGGTGCATCTTTCTTATTTTAGGTTACAACTAGATTTTAACATACGCTCAATTTTCACAGTAGGGAAACACTATATTTGTTCTTAATCCTCCCGACAATTCCTTACGAAATTTTCCACTTTCCAAAAATTTCTGGCTGATATCACTGTACTTCGTGAACATTTTGGAGCAATAGTGACAATCAGTTTTTAAGGAGTACAGGAGGAGTGCTGAACAGTTTTTTGAATTAGCTGGCACTTAATGATAAAAATCATCGATAAAAGTACGAGACATCAAAATATCACTAGTTCTGGAATGTGTACTAAAAAATATCACCGAATGAAAAAAGGGATATCAAGTGTTTGGTTACATTAGTGCGAGTTGACCTCATCAAAATTTTCCATCAAAAAATTGCCAGCTGGTCATTTCAGGGATCTCAATGCTTGGCAGAATTCCTGACGGCTGCTCCAGAACGACAGTGCATAACGCTGAGTAATGCGGCAAACTGCGCAGCATCGCAAATCAGTGATATGTGTGGATACGATGCGTTAACTCTTTCTTTCGAAGGAATGCAGGCATTTGCAAAGCAGGTACGGCGCTACTTCAGAATTCAGTGTAACGTCACTGAAGGGTCGAGCGAGGATATTGCAAATTACGAAGCGATGGAATGTTTGGTTTTCGAGGATAGTGTATTATTTGGATGATCACGCTTTTTCCATCAGTAAATTTCAGCTCAGCGCTCCATGCACCATAAAAATCCCGGTGGCCACAGTAAAGACAAATTGTCCTGAAACAGCGGTCGTCGAATATTTGCAGTGCGAAAATTTACTTGATCGTTTCGGTTTCACGCCGCTCTCATTTATCAGGTAGAACTGCTTTGCCATTGCTGAAAAGTGTTAAAACTGACTACGTGAGGGTAACACACAACTTTGATAATAATAGAGTAAAAAAATTTTAAAAAAAGTGCATTAATTCATTCAAATGAATGAAAATTCTTTATTCAAAAGGGAGCAAATTTTGATTTGAGACATACTGCATCTCTCTTTTCCGGTGCTTTTTATTAATATCTAAAGGTCTCGTTGAAATAACCATTCGCTAAATGAATGATGAAATGATAAAAAACGTTGCAGAGAGAGCGCGCAGTGGGGCGATTTCTGTAAAACAGTGCACGATTACGACAGCTGCTTGGCCAATATGTCTTGTCGGGTGGAACCGCTCTCATCCGCCAATACGGCGCTCTTCTTGAAAATCTGTGGGGACGAGGAGTGGAATACAAGGAGCTTGTTGCCATGTCTTAGCCGCTTTTCAAGCAGCGACACCGCGAAGACTTGCACTGAGCCGTATACTGGCCTGGATCTACTCGCCAAAGACGTTCCACAAAATATTTGCTCAACGTATGGGCTGATATTATTGTTAACATCACTGTCATTATCATTATTATTATTATTGGTATTTTATTATTAACACCGGGCTCCCCTTATCGACCATTTGGGGGACTTATCATTGTTATTGTCATTTTAAGCGCTATTATTATTGCTACTATGATTAACAATATCAATGTTATTATTATTTCTACTATTATCATAATTTTTTATTATTTACATTATTATTCTTATTACCGTTTGTGTTTTTTTATTATCGTTTGGGTTAGTTTCACAATCATTATTTACCATTTTTTACAACTGTAACAATATCAACACTCCTTCCCTATCATTACGATATCATATTATTCTTACTATTTATCTATTTTATTTTTTACTATTATTGTTACTGATATTGTCGTCAGCATTTTTATTACTACCTTATTATTACTGCTATTATTACGAGCTTTAACTGTTCATTCAGAAGTGAAATTTTTGAATTCTAAACTGAAATTAGTTCTCCACTAATCTTCCTGAGGACTTAAAATTTAGTGGACTGGCATTTTAGTAGATAACTTGTGTTTACTGATGAAATAGTCTGAACCCTTTTACTGCTTTCCTTTAGACATTTTCTCTAGAATAATAAGAACAGGAATGTTTTGTTGGGAGGCACTTTTGTTGGGATCAGGAGCTTACGGAGTAGGACAAAGCATCTCTGGCAGTTTTTGTAAATCATGCAAACGAAAACGCATTATCATGCAATAATATATCAATGTCTATCTGGATAATTTTTGAACTCTGGAACTAGAAAAGTTAGCGCGCAATTTCCGAGGACACAATACATAACTTCCCTTGGCCGTCTGTAGGCAGTGAGCTTTAAAAAATCCACTTTTCATTCTGTAACCTAAATTACGAGCTTAGACTCAAATTTTGGCTTATTTTGTATCTCGTTAATTCAAAAAGCACCAAGCTAGATGTTTTTGGCTGGAGAATATATCAAACATGAGAGCACCTAACCAGGAATCAGATCTCGCGTTTCATACTGTTTCATGGCCTTTCGCTT